CCCGGGCAGGGGGGCAGGACACGCCTGACCACAGGCTGCTGCTCATGCCTGGGGCCCACACCCCTGCACTGTGTCCCACGCAGGTTCCACAGATGCCCAGGAATCCCTGGAGGGTCCTGCCCAGGGCAGGGTGCATCCCTCGATGGAGCCCGCTCTGGGGCTGCCCTGACCCCGCCCCAGCTTCCCAGAGCCCCAGAGGTCTGAGCACGCCCTCCTGCAGCAGGTGACGCCGGCAGTGCCCGAAGCAGGTGGCGGAGGGAGGGCAGTGGAGGCGGCTCGGGCGACTCCAACGTGTCTGCCATCGCCTGTATGGCAGGAAGTCAGGCGTGAAATTAACTTTCACTCCGCGGCCCCAGCACGCAGACACAGAGAAATTAAAGTGACAGGGCGAGGTCTCTGGGGAGGGAATGACCTCCCACCTTCCAGCAATGACAGCAGTAGGGGCGAGGAGGCCGTGAGCTCAGGGGAGACTGCTCGGGAGGAGGCCGGGTGCCCCGCCTGACCCCAGCTGGATCATCTCATTGTCCCACGGCTGCAGTCGCTTATTACAACGTATTTATTCTCATCAGCCTCCCCTACTAGAATGTCAGGCCTCGTTCACTGCTATCTCCTGGAGGCCCAAAACGGTGCCTGGCATATAGCAGATGCTCAGTAAATATTTATTAAATGAGTGAATGAATGAATGAATGAATGAGTCTGGGTCTCTGTAGATAACAGAAAGAACCAAAACCATAGTCTGTGCTCTACATGCTGAGCACTGACCTCAGTGAGCAAGTATGAGGCAAGTCACCATCGCCTCTGTCTTGCAGATGCACAAACTGAGACCCAGAGAGCAAGGGACACACGGCTGGTCAGATGGGCAGAACAAGCTTCGGTCACGCCTAAGGCCCCTGTATCGCGCCCCGTGGCAGGACGGGGCCTGCGTGGGGCCTCCCTTCCCATGCTCCAGCACTGGACCTGGGACAGTTTCTGCAGTCCAGCACGAGCAGGGTCACAAGACATCAGAGCCTGCAAGGAGTGCAGGGTGCAAAGGCTGCTGAGGGCAGCTTCCTGGGCGCTGCAGCTCTCCTGAATACTATGCACCCTTAGCTTGCATACCTCCCAGCGACAGGGCGCTCACTACCCACCTCAGCAGCTCCCGCAACGGCCTTCCCACAGGATTCTCGCCCCCATCCCCAGGTCCTTTCTCCCTGCGGCCACCAAAGTAAACTTTTAAAACAAAAATCTGGCTGGGCACGGTGGCTCACATCTATAAATCCCAGCACTTTGGGAGGCCGAGGCGGGAGGATCACAAGGTCAGGAGTTCGAGATCAGCCCAGCCAACATGGTGAAACCCCGTTTCTACTAAAAATATAAAAGATTAGCTGGGTGTGGTGGCGCGCGCCTGTAATCCCAGCTATTCTGGAGGCTGAGGCGGAAGAATCACTTGTACCTGGGAGGCGGAGGTTGCAGTGAGCTGAGATCATCCCACTGCACTTCAGCCTGGGCAACAGAGGGAGACTCCATCCCCAGATAAACTAATCAATAAATAAAACAAAAATCTGATCCCATTGCTTCCTGGGATAAACTTCATTGCTAGCTTCCCTTCCAGCAGATAATAAAACCCCAACTCCTTACCAGCCCCCGGTGACCAGGCCTGTGCCCTTCTCTCCCTCACTTATCCCCTTGGGCCATCGGCCTTCTCTGTGACCCCTGCCAGCTCAGGGAGGCCCCAGGGCCTTTGCAACTCCTGCTCCACTGTCTGGGACACTCCCCAGAGATCCACACAGCTGGCTGTTGTTCAGCCTCCAAGGGTCCCCTCAACTGTCACGGCCTGCCCTGACCTCTCTGGCTAATGCCACCCCCTCATTTTCCCTCCCATCACCCCACTCACCAGAGTCACAAAATGTTTTTTAAAATGAATGACTACACATTGAAATTTAATAACCACACTGAAATCTAAAATATAAATGGGATGATAATTTTAGTAGAAAATATCCAAAAGAACCCTAAAATTCTAAGGACAAATCAGTTCCAATAATTTACACAAATATTTTTCTAACCAAAATTGATTGCTTACAGTGTTAAGAAATCTTAAATACTCATCTGTTTGTTTTATATTTTATTTTTCTGAGACTGAGTCTTGCTCCGTTGCCCAGGCTGGAGTGCAGTGGCACGATCCCGGCTCACTGCAACCTCCACCTTCCAGGTTCAAAGAATTCTCCTGTCTCAGCCTCCCGAGTAGCTGGGACTATGGGCACACGCCACCACGTATAGCTAATTTTTAAATTTTTAGTAGAGACAGGGTTTCACCATGTTGGCCAGGCTGGTCTTGAGCTCCCGACCTCATCCGCCCACCTCGACCTCCCAAATTTCGGGAATTACAGGTGTGAGCCACCGCGGCCAGCCCATCTGTTTGTTTTAAGCATAGACATGTTTGTTAGTGATTAAGACTTGGAACAAATTCAGTGAGGTAGTTACCTATTTAGTCAAAATGTGCTTTAACAGACCATAGCCATTCTCTGATGAAGATTATGGGATGTTGAATACAGCACTGGTTTTAATATGTTTATAGTTTTATTCTACTTAGACAAAGATGAAGCCATATCTATTTTCTGGTGTTAACCATATGAGTATCTTGCTCCTCTTTTGTTTAGATTGTATGGCTGTTTTTATTACCTGAAATCGTCCACATTTTCAGCTTAAAATATCACTCACTTTAAGTGAAAAAAACCCTATGTAAAGTTGTCAGTATAATAATGTGGCTTTCACAAATTATGATGTCAAAAAGGAAAAATATAAGTAGGTATACGAAGACATAAAGAGCTTAAGAGAGTTAAGTGAGCATAGTACTTTCGATTTGCTGGCATTTCCTTTTTCTTTTCTTTTTTTTTTAAATTTAGAAACAGAGTCTTGCTCTGTCACCCAGGCGGGAGTGCAGTGGTGCAATCACGGCTCACTGCAGCCTTGAACTCCTGGGCTCAAGCAATTCTCCCATCTCAGCCTCCCGAGTACCTGGGACCACAGGCACGTGCCACCACACCCAGCTAATTTCTTTTCAAGTTGTGCTGTTTGGCCAGGCTGGTCTCGAACTCCTGGCCCCAGGCAATCCTCCCCGCTCGGCCTCCCAAAGTGCTGGGATTATGGACACGAGCCCCGGCACTGCGCCGGCTTAGCTGAGGTTCTCCTGCTTTGTTTACTTAACTCGTTCTGACTCTGTCTCCACTGCCGGACAAATCTTGATGAGAGGTGAGGACTCTGTTTTACCTAAGGCTGAGCGGCCAAGGCCTAGCACAGAAACCGACACACAGCAGGCTCGCAATAAAGGTGTGATGCATGAACAGATGAATGAATGAATGAGTGGATAAATGAAGGAACGCCCCAAATAGCCCAGACGCAGTTGAGAACACCCCTCCCTCATCCCCTAAACCACCTGTGATGAGATCCTAAGAATGTCCCCCCTTGCCTTCACCACCCCCCACCTGTGGCTCCCCACCTCAGACAGGGGCCCCAGAGTGAGGCAGGTCCCAGAAAGCTGCAGCAGGGACAGGGTAGCCTGACTGGAAGACAAACGATATGGAGTCAAAAGGGACATGGTGCCAGATGAATGAGCCCACCAGGCCGATGCGGAGCCCGGGCTGCATCTGACTTGGGCATCCCGCACCAGCCCAGGACACATGCCCCTTCCTGACACTCTGACACTGCAGTCCCCACCGGACACCAGCTGACGATGGGCCCGTGCCAGCCACACTGGTGAAGTGTCTTTGTCAGATGCTCCCGAACCCGAGAGGGCCAAGAGCCTCGACCAGCAAGGAGATTTCCAGGCTTCTGCCACAATCACTAGGAGCTGCGACAGGGTGGCTGAGCTGAGCAGCTGAGCCTGGACTAGTCAGCGACTCTCGAAGCTGCAACGGCAGTGATCTCCCTGGCCTCTAGGGCAGCACCTGCAGATGTGTGAACACATGGGAGCTTTGCATGCCTTCAAAACCAGGGAGCTCACCACTGCTATGTAGTGTGTAGTTCCATTACAGAAAAGCTCGGACAAGCAGACCAGGCTGAACTACCCACCGAAGCAGCTACACGCCTCCCTCTGCAGCCACACTCTCACCATGACAAACCTGGAACTTCAACAGCTATGATCCCGAAGAGTCTCACCTCCAACCTACCAGCCCGCCACACCCACGGCCACATGTTCCTCAAAGGGCAAGATCTGCAGCCCCTTTTACCTTTTGGGTTCTTGGGCAATAACATGAGATAACATCCCCTCCTCAGCCCAGCAGTCTATGCTCCCATTAATGCATCCCAAGAAAAAGCTGGCCCCCTTCCGGCAGCCACGCCTCCAACGCCTTGCACCCGCTTGCAGATACAATGCTACCGGCCTCCAGCACTGCCCCATCCATCTGCACGTGGCACTTAATTGACATTTTCTTCCCTCCTGGCATCCGTCTGGGAAAAGGCCCCCATCATTAGGCTATATCACACTGGCCACCTCCGAAGCCTCAGGGCCTGGACGAGTGCTCTGGTCCACCCCACGCTGGGCTGTGCCAGAGGGATCTCTCTGTGCAGATGCCAGCTGACTCCCAAAACATGCTTATGCCAGAGCCCAAAACATGAGGCTTCCGCTTGCCCCGGGCCACTCCCCATCTGCCAGAGCTGGCTGCCCTCCGCCTGCAACAGCCCCGTCCTGCTTGCACAGGACGCAGACACGCAGCCTGGGGCCTCTGACTGCCATCTCTCCAGGCCCACCCATGCACCAGGAGCTCCCTCACCCACCCTCCCAAAGCCGGCCCTGCTTCCCGAAGCCTTGGAGGGGGAGCTCGCTCTACTCCCCGCCCCCACCCCAGGCCTGCTCCGACCCCAGCCGAGGCCCCACCTAGGACTGTCTCCTGTCCGCTCCTCGAGCACCTGGCCCTGGCCAGGAGCGCCTAATGGGAACAGAGAGCCCACGTCCCACACGGGCCGCTGAGAGCCCACCCACCCACCGTGCCCCCGTGTCTGCACGGCTGCCCGAGAGCACTCACATTTTGATGTTCTCATGATACTGCCGGGTGTCGGAGGGCTGGTTGTACAACGGCTGCAGAGGGAGAGAGAGAATCGCGTCAGAGCCCGCCAGCTGCTGCCCACGCAGACCCACTGGCAGGAGCCGCGGCCCTGGCTCCAAGGAGCCATCCTCTGGGCGAGCGCTCAGCCGCAACCAGGCATGAAACGGAACACAGGGACCCTGCAGCGGCCCCGGCCAGGTACAGGATGAAACTGGGTCCTTGGGGACAGCTGTGGGTGCCGTGACCACCCCCACCCAGGGGGTCGTGGCTGCCCTACAGGGCACTGGCAGCGCTGGCCTGGAAGGAACCACTGCCCAGAGCACACCAGGACGAGCCCGCACAGCCCAGAGGTCGCCCCTAACGTGGCGAGCCACTTGGCTTCCCGGCTCACCGTGGAAACACGCATCCCGACACCGAAAGACACCACTCTGTCCCCACTAACCAGCAGAAGATGAAAACGGTGAACAATGCCAAGCATTGGTGAGGTCTGGGGTGACGGAAGGCTAGCACACAGCTGGGGGGAGCCAGTGTAGGCGCACACATCCCCCAGAGAGACAGAAGCCACCTCCCGAAGCCTCCGCCTCCGACCGCCGTGCAGACGCCTGGGAGCACCTGGGCGCTGTGCTCGTCCAGGAGATGGACGCTGGGACGCTCCTATGGCATAGCTCACAGCGGCCGAGGAGAAGCCAGCGAGCCGCCACCACCACAAGGTGGCTAGGGGGATCAGGGCTCAATGACACACCACAAATCCCACCCAGCTGCGAGAGAGAGATGCCCGGGGCCACAGGTAGCAAGGACAGAGCTTCAAAGAGCCACGAGGAGACGCAGAAAGCACAGCACCGGCTGCGACGGGGCAGGACCCAGCCAGCTGCCACGCGTCCCCTCCCAGATGGAAGAACCATGGTTAGCAACCAAGGGCACAGCCTGGTCCAAATCCCGGTTCTGACGCTTTCTAGCTGGGTCTCCCTGGGAAGTTACTTAATCCATCTGTGCCTCAGTTTCTCCTCATCTAAAAATGGGGTTAAACTCATAGGGTTCTTGTGAAGATGAAACGGGCAGTGCATGCGAAGCTCTGAGGTGAGCGCCTGCAGGCTGAAATGCCCCGCGGTGCCAGTCACATTGCCGTCGTCAGCGTGCATGACTGTGCCAATGGCACCCACCTTCCGCACCGCCCTGTAGCCACCATGACCTTGCTGTGGCCAGTGGAACTGCTGCACGCTTAGCAAAAGCAGAGGCTTGAAGATGAGAGTTTGCGTTCCTGCTGCTTCTCTGTCAAGAGGACGAACGCGCCCAGCCTGGCCTGCAGGAAGTGGGCAGAGAGACAAGGAGCAGGGCGCCGCCACGCAGCCCGGGCTGAGCGAGCCCACCGGCCCACCGACCGACTTGCCGCCGGCCACGGGCTGCGTGGGCTGAGCCCACGCCCGCAGGAGCGCGCAGCCGCCTCCAGAGCAGTGAGCAGCAGTCAGCGGCCGCGCTTCGGGCCCCTGAATGTGGGGCTGCTTTGTTCCCCGGCAGTAGCTATGCAACCACGCGCGTAACTGACACGACCGTCCCCGCTGCACACGTGGGAGAATTGAGTCCTTAGGAGGTGACGACATTTGCCCACAGCTGGTAAGAGACGAGCCTGAATGAGAGCCAGCCTCTGAGCTCCAGCACTGGAGGAAGGAGTCTGCCCCTCTCTGCCCGAGTCTGTGCATGTGTCTGTGTGCGTGCCTGTGTGTCTGTGTCTGTCTGTGTGTCTGTCTGTGTGTCTGTGTGTGTGCCTGTGTGTCTGTGTCTGTCTGTGTGTCTGTGTGTGTGCCTGTCTGTGTCTGTGTGTCTGTGTGTGTATCTGCGTGTGTGTCGTGTCTGTGTGTCTATGTGTCTGTGTATCTGTGTCTGTGTGTGTGTGTCTGTGTGTCTGTCTGTGTCTGTGTGTCTGTGTATCTGTGTGTGTGTCGTGTCTGTGTGTCTGTGTCTATGTGTCTGTGTATCTGTGTGTGTGTGTGTGTCTGTCTGTGTCTGTGTGTCTGTGTATCTGTGTGTGTGTCGTGTCTGTGTGTCTGTGTCTATGTGTCTGTGTATCTGTGTGTGTGTGTGTGTGTGTGTGTGTGTGTGTCTGTGTGTCTGTCTCCCTTCCTCTTCCCGTCCCTCTCCCTCTCACACACCCACGCACACAGCAGGAGCCTCCCAGGGTGGCCATGGGTACTACGGTGGGAACACCAGGTACAGAGCGTGAGTGATCAGCTGGAGCAGGAAAGATAGGGGCGAGAAGTCCTGCAGGCTCAGGGCGGGGCTGCGGTGACGGAAGGGACACACAAGTCTCTTCCCTGGGGAGAGGGCTGCACGCACCTCCTGATGACCCTGGCAGAGGGGGCCACCCAAGCAATGAGGTCCAGACCCCCGCCTGCCCGTCCCCAGGGGAGGGCCTCTGCAGCTCTGCAGAGCCTCACAGACAGTCTCAGCCGGCGACAATGTTGCCTTCCTCCCTGTGGCCCCAGATCCCCTCCTAGGGAATTCACCACTGGGCCAGGGCAATTCCAGGCTCCTGCTCAGCTACTCTCCTGGGGACAGAGATGTCATCCTGCAGCTGGCATGGGCCATTCCTCCCCATGCCGGGTCAGGCTCCCCTCCCCAGGTGCTCAGCCCTGAATGGGGGGCAGTTTCCCCACCCCGACCCTGGAGATTTGAACAAGAGAAGTGGACGGAGGAAGAAGAGGGCCCACGGTCAGACTCGGTGCAGAACTTCCCAGCGAAGGTGCGGCACAGCCTCCCTGCAGAGGGCTGCGGGTCCTCGTCTCAGGAATGGCAAGGGGCCGTGAGATGCCCACGAGATAATCAGGGGCAACTACGTTATCTTCTCTATCAAATGCCAATCAAATACAGGCCAGGTGCAAGCAGGCATCGCTTAGAACAGGCGTCCCCAAACTTTTTACACAGGGGACCAGTTCACTGTCCCTCAGACCGCTGGAGGGCCGCCACATACTGCGCTCCTCTCACTGACCACCAATGAAAGAGGTGCCCCTTCCTGAAGTGCGGCGGGGGGCCGGATAAAATGGCCGCAGGCGGCCCGCGGGCCGTAGTTTGGGGACGCCCGGCTTAAAGGTTTGGGTTCTGGAAACAAATAGGCCCTGATTTAAATGCCGGCTCCTCCTTCACTAGCCATGAGCTTGGACAGGTGCCCTCAACACTACAGACTCAGTTTCCTCATCTGAAAAATGGGTGTAGGGCAAAGAGGACCTACTTCGTGGGAATTTTGGATAGCGCAGAAAATTTCAGACTTGGTGAAATTTGGAGTTTGCCTTCTTTTGGCTTTAAAGACAGCAAAAAGCCTAAAGGGGCCAGAGAGGAGCTGGCAGCCCGAAGCACCTAGCACACAGCCGCCGGGAGGGAGTGCTGGGCAGACGGGACAGGGCTTCTTCGGCACAGGACGGGTGCAGGAACTCGGGACTAGCCTCTGGGGGCAGCGGGAGCCTGCTGAGCCTCTGACCCACCGAAGCCACAGGAGAGGGAGGCCACTTCCACTTCCACTTGGTGGCCTCCAGCCCCTGCTTCTCAAGGCAGCCGTGGGTGAGGGGCCCACAAGGCGAAGGCCCCGAAGGACTGAGGGTACTGTGGGCTGCTGCTGCTTCTAAATGGGGTACCAGCCACTCCCCGAGGACTGAACCCCAGGAGCCCAGGGAAGACTCCGGGCCCAGAGCTGCCCGCCATGCTGGGCATTGCCATGGCAACAGGCTGAGGCCAGCCATCTTAGAAAGCCCAGCTGGGGGTGGGGGGAGGGAGGGCCAGTGACACGTCCTGGCAGGTGCATTGCTGAGGGGACACAGGGCCCGAGGGGACTCCCCAACGTCCCCATCACCCTCTGCAGAACGGGCTGCACAAAGCCCCGGCGGCTTCCCAGCCCAGGACAGCTGGAGTCCCCACGTGGGGCCGAGAGGCACCTAAATAGCCACACAGGCTGGGGGCACGGCCGGCGCCCGCCCCTCCCTCCCAGGCCTCATCGTCACACCCAGGTGAGGAGCACTCCCTCCCTCCTGAGGCCCAGAGGAGTGTGGAGCCCGGGGCAGCGGAGATGGCACCCCGGGGCGCGGCTCTCGGCTCTCAGCACCCGCCTCTCTCTTGCCCAGCCTCTGTCTCCTCTAAACATGGAGGCACAGCCACTCAGGGGGCAGAAAGAGGGCAAAAGGAGCAGGTGGCAGACACAGGGCGCGGGCAGAGATGAGGCATGGTGGTGACTAAGAAAGGCAGCAGGGGCCAGGGAGGAGGCGGCCCCCTCAGGCTCCAAGCCAGCCCTCGGGGCCACCAGGAAGAGCCACAGTCCCAGGCGGCCTGAGCTGGCAATAAATGAAGCGTCAGCCCCAGCCCTCAACCCGCTGGTGACACCAGCTTCTTAAAATAACGCCTTGGAACAGGAAGGAAGCAATGACTCAAAGCGGCAGAGAGGTCGGGCTGGTGAGCACGCCCTTCGCCACCACACCGCTCCCTGCCTGGCCCGGTCCCCACAGCCGGGCTACAGGGGCCGTGCCCACCATGCCAGCGCCCCAGACCCCTGGTTAGCGCCTCTGTGCTATTTTCATCCTTTCTAACGCTGATTCTTCCAGGGAGGCCGCAGGTGGCCGTCCCTGCGGAAGGGAGGGGCGCTGGAACTGCACTGCAGAGAGACCTGGGCACTGAACTCCGGGACCCGTGGTCCTGGGTCCGCAGGCCGTCCCTGGCCCAGGCTTCTGGCACTCAGGTGGTAGACAGGCCCTGCAGAGGGTGCACCACAGAGCCACCCCTGCTCGGAGGACGCCTGTGGCCACTCAGGCCTGGCAGATGTGTGCGGAACTGGCCGGACGCTCCCCAGGGGCTCAGCACACCTCCCCACCTCATTGCCCGCTGTGTGGCCCACACGAGGCACTCCCCTCGCCGAGCCTCATCCAGAAAACGGGACGGCAACAGCTCTGTGAGGCGCCCTCCCTGTCCCCACTGGCTGGCACCAAGCCAGGGGCCTTCGAGAGTCCAGACACCAGACCTTTAGCCTCCGGCACCATCCGCCCTTGGAAGCCTCTGCTCTGAGATCCCCAAGCAGGGGGCAGCCTGTCCCTTGTCTCCAAAGAACCTGAGAAGATTCACAGTGAGGCCCCGGGTTCCAAAGCTTCTGACACCAGCAGCCGCCCGCTCCCATCTGCCCCCGGCTGCCCATGGACAGGGGCTTCCTTGTCCCTGTCCCTCGGGCCTAAGACACGAGGGCCTCCAGGCCCTTCCCCCAGCAAAGGTGAGTTGCGGGGGGGACCTGGAAGTCTAGAAATGGTTGGGAACCGCATCCAACCCTGCCATCACCGTGTGGCAAAAAAGGGGAAACTGAGGCAAGAAGCAGCTTCCTGGTGGGGATGTGCCATGGTACGGCCACACTGGAAAACAGTTGGGCAGTTGCTTAAGGGGCTAAACAGAGGGTTAAGAGAGGATCCAGCAACTCCACGCCTGGGCGCGCCCGGGAGAAAGGCGGACGCACGCGCACATGGAAACAGCACACGAACGTTCACAGCAGCTTTACTCTCCGCACCCCAAATACGCAGACAAGCTCACGCCCACCCGCTGGGGCGTGGGTAAACAGCACGTGGCCTGCCCCTGCAGGGAGATCGGATTCAGCCACAGAAAGGAATGAAGGCGCGACCCACGCTCCGCACGGATGAACCTCGAAAACATGATGCGGAGTGAGATAAGCCAGACACAAAGGACCGTACATTGCAAGATTCCATTTATAGGAAACGTCCAGAATAGGCACATCCATAGAGACAGAAGGGGCTCTTCTCGAGATGATGAAATGTTCTAAAATGGACCGTGGCGACAGTGGCACACATCTGTGAATACACTAAAACCCACTGAACTGTACACTTTAAGCGTGTGAATTGTACGTCAATAAAGCTGTTTACAAAACAACAATAAAAAACAAACAAACAAAAAAAAACAAGGAAGCAGCGGCTGCTGCTGAAAACTTTCACCAAAATTCACTTCCACTGAGAAGCACAACCCCAGGCTAGAGCCTGTCACCCAGGCCCCCCAGGCCCCCCAGGTCAGAGGATGTACCTGGAGGGGGCGGAGCCCTGAAGGGGTGGGAGAGCCAGGTGAGGCCTCCGAGCCCAGCAAGTGGCGGCCGGGTGGGTGGCTGGGCCCTGCTTCTGAGCTGGAAGAGCCCCTGCCACCTCCTGCCTGCTTCTGCCTTCTGAGCAGGCCCGGGAGCCTGTGGCTTGCAGTTCCTGAGTGGCCTCAACGAGACCCCAAGGCTTCAGGGTGGCTCTCCTTGCGTCAACCTCAGCAGCCTGCAGAAACTCCACGGGAAGCAGCTCATCTCCAGATTGTTCTACTGAGCGCTTCGCAAGGGCAGGAGCTGCATCAGGCGAGCCTTGAATGGGCATCACTGCCCTTAACCCTGGGAAGACCCTGGAAGGAGGCCCTGGAGTCTCTGCCTGTCACAGATGAGAGCACAATGCTCCTACAAGGTCAGCCCCTTTCATAGGGCCACTCGGCAAACACGAAGTGGAGGCTCTGAAGGTGTGAGACCTCTGCTTCGTTTCTTTATGAGGCAGGGTCTCACTCGACTCCTCAGGCTGGGGTGCGGTGATGTGATCATAGCTCACTGAAGCCTCCAACTCCTGGGCTCAATCGATCCTCCTGCCTCAGCCTCCCAAGTAGCTGGGATGACAGGTGTGCACCACCATGCCTGGTAAATTTTTTATTTTTTTTGCAGAGATGAGGTCTTGCTATTTTGCCCAGGCTGATCTCAAATTCCTGGCCTCATGCGATCCTCCGGCCTCGGCCTCCCACAGTACTGGGATTACAGATGTGAGCCACTGCACATGGCCGAAGGTGTGAGACTTTATCTGCACCCTGGGTGGACTCACACGCACACCCTAGCCCACCACGCACAGAGACTCTCCCTCATCTGGCACATGTGGGTAGCTGTATGCCATGCTGGCCAGCTCAGTGGGCTCAGACGGCTGTGTGGCAGGCAGGGGCTCTGGCCAGTTCTCTGGGGCTTAGGGCTTCTGCATCTACCCATCCTCAGCCCAGGGACTTCAGGAGGCCTGGGCCCTGCTTTCCCACTCTGCTGCTGACATGGCATCTTCCCACAGCAAAAGGACACTAGTGACAGTCATCATCACCATCACCACCACCATCATCATAGCTAACGACCAGCCCTTCGCTGTCCACAGACAGGCGCCGCACCTGATGCTGGATAAACATTCATACAGCTCCCCCTCACTGGAACCCAGTGGAGCAGGCACTATTAGGATGCCCATTTTACAGATGAGGAAGCTGAGGCACACAGAGGTAACAGACGCACTCAGGGTCACCCACACCACGGTGTACCCGGGAGTGGACTGAGGTCACGTGACCCAGAGAACCGACTCTGTGCTCAGCTGGAACAAACGCGTCGGCCTCCAGGTGTGTGATTGCTCACAGCACCCACGACAGGGCTCCGGGCGTGCACAGGAGTGCGCAAGTGGCGCCCCCGGCACTCCCTGCCAGACCGCTGCCCCCGCCCGGCCCAGCCAGGCCCGCCCCACCCACTATCCGCATCAGGAAGGTGGGTTCCCTGCCTCCTCCGCGGACGCCGCCTGGGCAGCGCTTGGCAATAGATGACTTCCTCCTCCCCCGCCCCTCCCGCCTCCCTGCCCACCTCTCCCGCCACCCCCGCCCTCCCTGGATCCCCCAACCCTGTACCCCAGCTCACCAGCTCCACCTGGGGCCCCAGGCCTTCCAGAATCCGGTGTGCAGCTTCAGCCTTCTTCTGCAGGGTGACGGCAAGGCAAAGAGGAGGAATTTTTTTAAAAAACAAAAAAATACAGATTATAAATAGAGGCTCCCCGGAGCAGCGGGCACCTGCCCAGCCCAGCCCAGCATGCTGCTCCTCGGCACGGAGGAGGGAGGCCCGGGGCCCCCTCCAGAACCTCCCAGGCTCAAAAAAACACAGAGGGGCCTCAATACCCCCGCAGCAGCCCTGGCAGGTCCGCCAAGTTTCGATTTTAGCAAACGCGCCGGGTCCCCTGAAGCCTGCTCCCCGGCGGGCCCCGCTCCCCCAGAGCCCAGCCGACACTGCCAGCCCTGAGATGCCTTCCCTCGCCCTGGAAGCTGGTTGGGCTGTCTCAGAGCTAGTGCAGCCAGCTAGGGAAGGAGGAGGAGGTGGAGGAGGGAGGGTGACAGAGGCGCTCAGAGATACCCTTTCTAGGATTCTTGTGTTTCACAATCATGTGATTATTTCTGGGCTGCCCCGGGGCCTCCCCGCCTCCTCCCCACTCACAACCGGGGACTTATTAGGAAAACAGGAACATGTGGTGACGGGCTCGGTGGCCGCGCCGGCAATAGGCTGGACCTCCGGCCCCCGCCCGGGCCTCGGTGTGAAGGCAGACATTGTGCCTGGCGTGGCCCCCAGCCCCCAGCCTGGGACCACCAGGGCCCATTCAGAGGAGGCCAGCCCGGGTGCAGGGAGGCGGGGGGCAGAGGGGCTCTTCTGAAGGTGGCTTCACAGGGCTTTGTCGGAGGGCAGGGGCAGAACTCAGGTGGGTTCGGGTGCCCTCTGCACCAGGCTAAAGTGTGTGTGCACTGGCAAATGGGTGTCCCCAGGCCAGCATGTGGCAAGCCCCTGCTGTGGTTCAGTTTCGCCAGGCCAGCCACTCAGTATTTGGCAAGGACCGGACGGACAGGCCACAGAAGTCACCATCACCATACTGAAACCGTCCCCAGTGACTCCAAGCCCAGACTGGCCAAAAGGAGGTGACCCCCAGCCCTGGGCAATACGGATGCCAACAAAAAGCCAATGCAGTCTTTGCCAAGATCTCCTTGCAGGGCGGAGGGACCCAGCATCCCCGGGCTACAGCAGAGAGAGGAGGGCATGGCGGACCAGCTCACTCCCCCTCCCGACCCCTGGAGAAAGACAGCTGGTATGTAGGTGGGCTCAAGCTGGCACCTAGGACTGCCTCTGCCTAGAGCCCAGCGCCCGGCCCACCGAGAGCAGAGCCATGCTCCCGGCCACCTTCACGCTGAGCCGAAACCACGACACCTGCAGCTCAAGGTGCAGCCGGAACAGCAGGGGAGAAAGATTACAGCGCTGATCACTTCCCCGAGCGCCCGCCATGAGCCAAGCATCGGGCACATGTGTGTTCCTCACATTTCGATCCCATGGAAGCACCACGGGAGGCACACACAGGAGTATCCCCATTTCACAGATGGTGAAACCGAGGCGCAGAAACACAACACAGAGAAGAAGCCCTTCGTCTGACCTCCAGGACAGAGGAAGCCAAGGCCAGGGTCCCACGCAGGGCGACCCCGAGGCTTGGGGCTAGTATTCCCGGTACACAGGGGCAGACATCAGCCTGACAGTCACCGCCCCAGCCACACCCTCGAAGCAAGAGAGTCTGCCCTGGGGTCCTCAAGATGGGAGAACCCCTGAGCCAGACCCAGCGAAGGACTGGGTATGGGGTGGCATGGGGGCAGGGCAGCTCCCAAACACCGGGACCAGGCAGAGACATGGGAAAAATGATACCTGGCTCCGGCCTGCAATAAATCCAAACAATTGGCAGTTGGTTAAGAGCAGTAACAGCAGATTACTACACTCAGGCAGAGAAAGGTACGTGTGAAAGCGGGGCACAAGTCACTCCCCCGGAAAGGTAACAGGAGGGATACATAGGCTGGGTTTTGAGGGGCGAATAGGAGTTTGTGTGTATCATCTGTGGGGATCAGCAGCAACTGTCCATCTAGATAAAGGAATGATACCAAACGGAAAGGGCCAAGCCACTAGAAGTGCCACGGCCACACAGCTAGCACCTGGAGAGCAGGAGGACCCCTTCTTCACCCACTGAAGCTGCAGGGAGCCCCACCTCCTCCTGCCTCTCTGGGGTTTCCTCCACCTCCTGCCCCCACACCCCCTGCTCGCGGTGTTGGATCTGTTCCGGCTCCACCGTCGTCTGCGGTCCTGCCTGTCAGCCTTCCGGGGGGCGTGGGCCTGCGGGGCCCTGTCCCAAGACGGGCTGGCCTTTCTCAACACATCGGCTCAACATCGGGGAGCTGGCTGCACTCTAACCGGCAGCAATCTGCGTCTCCCGTCTGGCCACACTCACCTGGGGTGTCAACTCCCAGAACTATGGCAAGGATGTTCTGCAGGGAACAAAATGTCACCTCTTCCCTCTTTCAATGCAGAGGAGACACCTGCCAGAACGCAGCATGGCTGGGAATGTGGATGTGGGCCAGATTCAGCCCCGTGCCAAAAATTCCCCCTCACCTCCTCGGCTGCTGACTTCCTGCCACCCTGGGCACCAAATCCAAACGCCTCACCAGGGTCAACAGGGTCCCAGCCCTCACGGGCCCTGGACCTCTACTGGCCCCTCACTGTCCCCTGCACACTGAACGCCACTACTGCCTGTGAGCTTTGCACCTACTGTTCCCTGCCTGGAATGCTGTTCCCCCCACGTTCACATGCTCTTGCCTGCCTCTTGCTCACGTCTGGACTCAGCCTCCCCTCCCCAGAGAGGCCTTCCCTGATCCCCCACAGGAGGCCGGACCACCTCCCTTGACCACTCTTTTCCCCACTGGGCTGTCTTCACAGCACACTGGTCACGGGTAAGGGTGTGCATCCCACTGTTTATGTTACTGGCCGTCTCCCCCAATGGGACATGAGCAGCGAGGCGCCTGCTCTGTTCTCTGCTGCGCACCCACAGTGCCTGGAACAGCGTCTGGCTCAGAGTGGACACTCAGGAATAGTCTAATTCCCAGAAATAGTCTAATTCCCGCAATTCCTGGCTCCCTCGCTCAGGCTGTCTCTAGAGCAAAGCATTCTTGTACCCCCAGGCTCTCCGGTCCCAGCCCAGAATGCTGCCCTCTCGACGTGGCTGCAGCTGGCCCACTGCCTCCCACCTCCCGACCAGGACCAGAGAAGGCCAGCGCCGGCCACTGAGCTGCTGCCATCCAGCAGTGCCCTGCACAGGACGGAGGGTAGCGGACACTCTCTCCAGGGCTGAGTGGGAAGCAGTTGCACCCCCTGGCATGCCTGGCCTTTCCAAGGACACAGGGGGTGGGGGGCACAGAGGTGGACGAGAGAGCAGTCTCTCTACTCTCTGAGCCACAACCAGGATTGCCAAGTCTCCCAGTAACCCGTTTCTGGGGTGCAAGGGCTGCCCCATTTTACAGATGGGGAAACAGAGGCTCAGAGAGGATGCCTGGATAGGAGGTCACCAACCCACACAGTTCCAGGCAAAATCCCAGACCCTTCCCACCTGACCCTCTCCCACCTAGCACTTCGCACCCCAACACTGCCATGGCAGGTATTTGCGCATCTCCCCTGCCCCCTGGGGCCACCTCCGACACTGGCTCCCTGGCTGCCCCTGCCCCCGGCACACAGCGACTGCTCCAACAGGAGCTCTTGCCTGCATCTTCCCCGTGCGGGCCCAAGGCCCAGCTTGCAGGGAACACCAGGACACACTAGTTAGAGATGAACCAACTCTACCCGGTGGTGGCGAAACCCGGGGGCTGCTCCAGCGTAGAGGAGGGCCTGGGGCCGGCTGGGAGGCTGGAATTCAGGGGACTCAGCCCCACCCGGGGGGAGAAGGGAAAAGGCCTTTCTCAATCCCACTGAAACCGGACGGCCCCCATGACCTCCCACGTGCCTGGCCTCAGAGCGCGCTCTGACAGCAGGGGATGGGGGCTGACGCCGGAGGGGAGGTGGCTGAGTCTGAGAAGAGCCACTGCCCAAGCTCACCAGGCTCGGAGAGGAGGACCAGGGACCAAGCCAATGAGGGCCCGGCTCACCATGGCGTCCACCCCCTGGAGGGGCTCTCGCCAGGCAACCAGGGGGCAGGGCAGGTTCTCACTCGAGCAATGGCCCTACTGCAGGGACCCAGGGTCTGTGTGGCCAGGTCTCCCTGTTGCCAAAGAGCCCAGGAGCTGTGCTGGGACACACAAGTTCTCGGTCACCTGTGCAGACGGGTGCACGGGAGCGCCAGACCCACATGACCAAGTGCACGTGCCAAGATCTAGAAATGCACAAAGACAAACACACATGTCCACACACGCCAAGGCACGCACACGCACTCACACACGCACACCAAGCGGACACGAGGCGACACACCCGCCCCACACGCGCCATCTCATGCACATCCATTTGTACATACACGTACACAGTCTAACTGCACCCACATGAACGTGTGTATGCACACAGGGGCACAGACACACCAATACCTACACACATGCCCCACATGTGCCGATCCACGGAGGAATGTGTTCACATATGCACACAGCACCCACAGGCACACCTGCACACATGCACACCCACACCCACATGTGTATGCATGGATGTGTCACTGCGCAGATAACCACAGGCCCCACATGCTGACTCACACAAACACACATGTGCACACAGCCATCCAGAGGTACACATACACACACACACGTACGTGCATACAGAGGTGCGCTGTATCGATGCACACATCACCAACGCGCGTCCCACACAAGCCAACTCTCACTCAGTATTCATTCACACAGCCCCTCAAAGGCACACGTGTATGCTCACACAACACACGTGTATCCAACACACATACCACACACATACACACGTGTATCCAACAGGCATACCACACATGCATCTACCCACACGTGCACACATGCACCCACAGGCACACAAACCACACATGTCCACATGCGGCTCTCCTCTAAAGCAGAGAAACAGACCTGACACTGACCACTCCCTGGCCACTCCCCTACCTGGAAGACCCATCCTAGCCCCTTCTCGGCCATACTGGCCTCCTCATCTGCAGATTGGGGGCAGCACCTACCCACCTAAGAAGTCCCAAGCCCCCAGCCCTGCACCCAAGCCCCTCCTCCGCTGGCTGCAGCAGTGCATCAGGGCAGCAGCCGACCCTGAGCTTCAGCTTCCTCATCTGAAAAACAGCCTCACGCCCGTGAGCCCCATGCAGAGCTCTTCCAGGGTGTGTGATGAGCAGGAAAAGCAGGCGATGCGTGCAGCAGCCTCACGGGGCTGAAACGGACAATGTGAAAGAACCCCTGGGCCCTGGGGGCAGTTAGGATGGCCAGGTGGCTGGGCAGAGGCCAGGGGTGGGGGCCTGGCCCAGGATGCCGGGGCCACAGGACGGGGTCTGAACCACTGCTCTGAAAATCTTGCATCAGGGGGTCTGACGCTGGACCCTGCCAACGAGCATCCAATATGCCAAAACCCCTGGCAGGCTCTGCTGACTGCTTCACGTCCACGGTGACTGCTGATGGCGTCACTCATCCCTGCCCTGCTCTGTCCCTACCACACTGTCCGTACACTGAGTCCCAATCGCACCGTATAAACACGTTCCCGTTAAGATGCTTAAACTCAAAGACAAGGACTGGAGTCTTAGATGTCCGAATTACTCAGCAACCGGAGGTCGCTGCTTCCATCAATCCTGCCTCTTCTTCCCCATGTGAATGAGCCATCGGCATCTCCACTGGAACAGGCTTCTACGTTTCCCCAGTGGACCTAGCTCAAGGTCCGTCTCCTCTATGAAGCCCACCCTGACTGTTCCCAGTCTCCTCAGTTCCTACAGCACCAGCAGCCCGCGCTGCACAAACATTCCCGTGTATCCACACTTGGCTAGCGCTGCCTGCCTGTGTGTTTTATCCAGATTCCAAGTGTGCTCCTTGTCCCAGAACCAAGAGGCTCCTACCCTCATGCCCACCACCTTTGAAGGTCAAAGGAGACACCAGTCCCCTCTCTGGGACTTGCCATGCCCCTCATTCAAATGCCTCCTTCCGGCCCACTGGCTGCCTCCAAGAAGCCTTTCCCGGTGCCCGCTCCAGGTCACGCTCTGTCCTCCCAGTCTGGGGCCACCGCGCCTGCTCCTGCTCTCAGGCTGCAGAGTCCCCGCCGGCTGCCCCACCATCTGTGCACACCTGCCTGGCCCCCGCCCACGCAGGCAGCTCCCGGGAGGCAGGAAAAGCCTTGCTCAGCAGGTGCCTCACCAATGTGCTCCGAATGGATAATGAGCCAGACTCCGGCACTCAGAACTGCCAGGCAGGCCCTGCCCAGCGGGGAAGCTGCGTTTTCCGGCTGGCTTGGCGTTTAGAGACAGACCCTTGTCCTCCATCTCTCCAGGAACCAGCAGGGAAGGAAGGCGGATTAAAATTTAATCCTACTGATCCCCCAAGGGGCAGTAAGTCCTGGCTGCTCCTGCCAAAGGCAGCTGGGGGCCCCCCACACAACAGGCTGCAGGCTTTGGAGGCTCGGAAGCTCAGCGCAGGCGGAGGGTCCCCCACCAGCCCCCACACCCTCAAACCAGAGGCCCCTTCCACGGGCAAGAGCTGGCCACTCGCCTCCATCTCCCCTCCCCTCCTGCCGCCTGGACATGTCCACAACAATTACTTCATGTGCATCTGCTGTGTGCTGAGCACTGTTTCAGATGCTGGAAATACAAATGAAAGTAAAAGTGGGCGGGAATAAAATCCCTGCCCTCACAGGGCTTCCATTCATAATAAACAGAACAAGTAAAATATTAATCACGTCCCATGGGGAGAGGGGCTACGGAGAATCAGAAGCCACGAAGGAGGAAAACGGGAAGGAAGAGCAGAGCGTTGAAACGGGTCTTGCTAAGAATTTGAGCAAATATAGAAATGACAGTATAGGCCTTGCAGGAAGAGAAGCTCCAGGCAGAGGGCCACTGACTTGGCCTCCACAGCTGCTGGTGAGAACTGTGCCTGCTCTCCACCAAGAATCAGAGAGAGCAGGCAGAGGTGACATTCTCAGGAGCCCTGCCCATCTCCCCTCCACTTTGGGCTCCTGGAGCCACCTCAATCTTGGCTCCGAGTCCCAGGCTCGAAGCTCACTTGCTCTGCAATCTCAGGGAAGTCACCTTCCCTCTCTGAGCTTTGGTTTCTTGGTAGCAAAGTAGAGAGAATAATAGTAGTTCTATTAAATGCAAATAGTATTCTATTCAATGTACAAGGTAAACAATCACAAGAAGAAATGACAGCTATGATAATGACAATTAATAGCACCAGCTGGCAATTTCTTGGTGCAAAGCACTGTCTGTCCTAAGGGCACTAGGACATTAGCCCCTTTCATCCCCAGACCAACTGTACTAGCCACTGCTATCGTTGTCATCATTTTAAAGCTGTGGAGCATGAGGCACAGGGCGGTTTAAGTAAAACGCTCCAGGTCACAGAGCCAGGAAGTTGGAGACATGAGATTTGAACCCAGGATGCCTGGCTGAAGCACATGTGGCCCCCTGGCTCTTCTATGACTGTTACTAGGGGTGCTTGGGGTGAGGGGCCAGGGTGTGGAAGAGTGACCCAAGCTCATTCCCAGGCCCCAAACAGGCTGGTCTCATTCTGCATGGCATTGCTGTTTCTAGAGGTGGAGGCATAGCCAAACTGGTTGATCCAGTCATTTGCGGCCTCAGGCTGCCACTACAGGCACCTGCAACGTGACTCCAGAGGCCTCCCCACCCCCATCTCAACTCTGAGCGCTGATCGGCCAAGGAAGATATTACAGAAGAGGCAGCTGGGAAGGGTGGCTGGGGCCTCCAGCAGGAGGGAAACCAGAGATGCCAAGACAGGGAGAGGAGGTTCCTCATCTGTCACACTTCACAAGGACCAGTCCCTCTCTGGGCCTCAGTTTCCTCATCCAGAAAGTAAGGGAGGGGGGATCAATAGCCACAGGTCCCAAGTGCATCTGGAAAAAGTCGACTGTAAATCATCGAAGCCCAGCTGGTATTGGCTTGAGTGGGAAGATGGGGAGCTCACCACCTCACCAGACAAGGTTCCACCTTGGAGGCGCACAGGCCCTCCGGGTCCAGCCCCTGGAGACGCCGGACACCTCAAGCCCCTCCACCAAGACCAGACCCCCTATCGATACCTGGCTGCTGCCCCAGTGAGATCTCCATGGCCCCCACAGCCTGCTCCCGACCCCGGGATTCAGCCATCTCAAAAGCGCCTTCCAGGGCACAGTGTCAGTGGAAGCCAGTGCTGAGAACTCAGGCCCTGTGGTCCGACAGCCCACAGGTTCAAATCCAGGTCCAAGGCTTCCTAGCCGTGTGACTCTAGACAAGGCACTTAGCCCCTCTGGCCCTTAGGAAAATGGAAACAAGGCCTGCACCTGCCATCCAGGACCGACGGGGGCGCTGCTCCACGAACGCTCGCTGCTGCCGTCACAACGTCATTATCTTTGACCTCACAGGGATTTCCTGCACACGTGCCTCCAGTGGCGGCCCCTTCCCGTTGGCCATCGGCTGGCCCCTGGTGCTCTCCTGGAGCCCAAAGCCTCTGTGTTGTGTTGCATCCCGCTGGCCAGCCACGGTCCCATCTGTGTGTCTGAGCACAACAGCTCAGAGGCCACACCAGGCTGGCTTTCCACCGGCCACCTTCCCCCGCCCACTCATAAACCACACGTCTCTGGGGGAGAGGGTGTTGAGGTACCCTCCCCATTTCGCAGATGGGAACACTGAGGCCCGGTTCAAGGTGCCCCCTGGGAAGCGCCCTGTGGCCAGCACCGGGGCAGCAGGCGGGGGCGGGGCACATACCCGGTTCTCGTCGTAGATGATCTGCACCAGGCTGCGGTGCTTTGACTCGATGGGCGGTGGCGACACTGGCTTCTCAGGCTCGGGCGGCTTGGCGGCCTCCTCCTCCAGCTGTTGCTGTGGGGACAGGCAGAGTGTGCCGGGTGAGCACCCCGGCGGGCGGAAGGAGGGCTACAGCCCCCAGGGCATGGGGAGGCCCCCCTGCAGCCCCGGTCTCGGCCACACACAGGAAGTCAGGCTGCTACCCATTTCCTGTGAGTCACCCCAGGGACTCCACACCCCAAAGAGGCCCCAGCTCCCGGGCCAGCTGCAGCCTCCAAGCTCCGAAGCCAGGTTCAAATACTGCCTCCGTGACTTGCCAGCTAGGGAAGCACAGGCGAGCAGCCTCACCCCACTGGGCCTCAGTTTCCCCATCTGTAAGCAGGCTGATTGCCGTGTCCTCATTCTGACTGTGGTGCAGACTGAATGAGTCAGTGACACAGACAGGCACAGTCGGGCCTTCTGCGAGCCGGCATTACCACGCACTGCGGTTCCCATGGGCAGCATCAGCGCCAGGAGACGCTGTGCAGAGTCCGCGGCTGCAATGGGCGGACTGGAACCCGACTCCTGCTCCTACTAGCTGCGTGGCCTTGAGAAGCTGCTGGACTTCTCTGAGCCTCACCTTCCTCATCTGGAAAATGTAGACAAATGACTTAGTACCCTAGAGTGCAGGTGTGAAGGTGAAATGAACTGATGATGCCTGCAAAGTACTCAGTACGGGGCACACAGACAGCACTGCACACACAGCTCCTCATCCTCCATCACCCTCAACACCCCAATAATCATCTCTATCCCCCATCATTCCCATCCTCCATCATCATCACCCTCATCCCCCCATCATCCTCATCCCCCATCATCCCCATCCCCCATCATCATCACCCTCATCACCCCATCATCATCCTCATCCCCCCCATCATTCCCATCCCCCATCATCCTCATCTCATCATTCCCATCCCCCATCATCATCATCTCCCCATCATCACCATCCCCCATCATCCCCATCTCCCCATCATCATCACCTTCATCACCCCCATCATCATTCCCATCCCCCATCATCCCCATCCCCCATCATCCTCATCTCCCCATCATTCCCATCCCCCATCATCCGCATCTCCCCATCATCCGCATCTCCCCATCATCATCACCCTCATCACCCCATCATCATCCTCATCCCCCCATCATTCCCATCCCCCATCATCCCCATCCCCCATAATCCCTATCCCCCACCATCATCACCCTCAACACCCCAATAATCATCTCTATCCCCCCATCATTCCCATCCCCCATCATCATCACCCTCATCACCCCCATCATCCTCATCCCCCATCATCCTCATCCCCCATCATCCTCATCCCCCATCATCCTCATCCCCCATCATCCTCATCCCCCCACCCATCATCCTTATCTCCCCATCATCCCCATCTCCCATCATCCTCATCCTCCATCATCCCCATCTCCTCATCATCACCCTCATCACCCCATCATCATCCCCATCCCCCATCATCCCCATCCCCCATCATCCCCATCCCCCATCATCTCATCTCCCCATCATCCCCATCCCCCATCCTCATCTCCCCATCATCACCCTCATCACCCCATCATCATCCTCATCCCCCCATCATCCCCATCCCCCATCATCCTCATCTCCCCATCACCATCTCCCATCATCCCCATCTCCCCATCATCATCACCCCCATCATCATCCTCATCCTCCCATCATCCCCATCCCCCATCATCCCCATCCCCCATCATCCCCATTCCCCATCATCCGCATCCCCCATCATCCGCATCTCCCCATCATCCCCATCCCCCACCCTCATCTCCCCATTACCCCCATCCCCCATCATCTCATCTCCCCATCATCCTGATCACCCCCATCATCCCCTCCTCATATATTCATATACTGGACCCCCTCCTAACACCCTTGGAAAGGGCATTCCATCATGCTGCCATCTGCTTCACAGCAAGAGGGTGGCTGAAGACCACAGGGTTTCGGGCACTGACCCAAGGTCAGATGGGAGGCCAGTGCCACCTTCTGCAATGTGACAGGGCATTGCAAGTAAGATCAGAACACGGCCTGCTCCACTTATGATGCTCACACAGCCCGCACGTGACAGCGGGGCGTATCAGTATGAACACAAAAAGGCGGCCAAAAAGGGAACGCAGAAAGAACCAGAAAACCCAGGGTCCTGGCTTCTGCAGACTCCGGGGCTGCAGACCTGAGCGGAACTGCCTCAGTCCCATAGCGACCCCTGGTGGTTGCTTCAGGAAGGGCATCGAAAAACTCCCGCTAAGGTGAGGATGCGGAAAACCTGGAACCTTCATACACTGCTGGTCGGAATGTAAAACGGGGCAGCTGACGTGGAAGGCGGCTTGGAAAGTCATCAGCACATTAAACCTAGAGTCAGTGCGCAATAATTCTGCGCCTAGGTATACACCCACAAAAACGCAAACACGAATGTTCACCAGCAGTGCGATTCACAACAGCCACAGCCCAAATGGCCACCGATAATGAAATAAACAAAGGTGGCATCTCCATACAATGAAATAGGATTCAGCTATAAAAAGGAATGAAGGACTGAGACGAGAGACAACATGATGAACCCCAAAACCAGGACGCTACATGGAAGAACCCAGACGCAACAGGACGCATACTGTGTGATCCGATGTATACGACATGTCTAGAACAGGTGAATCGTGGAGACAGAGAATAGGGGAGTGGCTGCTTCAGTCCCTGGGAGGCTTCCCTGGGGGCTGGTGCAATGGCTTAGACCCAGACAGAGGTGATGGCTGCACGACACTGAATATGCTCAACGCCACTGACCTGTGCACTTTAAAATGATCATGTTTGACAATTTCACTTTTGAAAAAGGCCAAAGTAGAATATAGGGGGGAAACAAATAAAAACCCAAAATCTAACCACTGAGGGCCGCCTGGGGTCCCCTGGCTTCCAGCTGCAGTCACCAGCCCCGCAGCTTCAGACCCTGCCCAGGGCCGGGACTGGAGACCTAAAGGTGCAGTGCCAGGCTGGTCCTGGCAATGTCTGCCCACCCCGCTGGGGTCTGGCCCTCTCGGGATGCCTGCACCACCATCATGAGACCTACCCACTGCCTGCTGAAGCCTGGGACAGCTGGCAGTCTCAAGGACTAGGCCCTGCAGCTGGACTATCCCCAAATCCTGGTTCCCCCAACCACGTGACAGCCCTGATGGCCCCTTGAAATCAACGCTCTCCCAGCTCCCACGGTGCCTCTTCCTGGAACCCTTCTCTCACCAGCCTTCGTGCCCGGCCCACAGTGGCTGGGATGAGCCCTTGATCCTCCTTGGAGCCCCCACTTCCTTGTCTGAAGCACATTAGATATGAGCCTACTTCCCTGTTTGTCTACACACTCCCTGGGGCCAAGACACTGCGGCGATGACTCAATCAACTATTTTTAATGAGCACCTACTATGTACCCCATGCTGCTCAGAACACAGCAGTTAACAGGAAGAGAAGGAGAGGACCACTGTCTAATGAAGCTGGGCCTATATTAATTCAAATAATGAAGCCACCACTGGGGTGATGAGACAGATCAGCAACTGGCAAAATTTCTCTTTTTGGTGAGATGGGGTCTCACTCTGTCGCCCAGGGTGGAGTGCAGTGGTGTGATCACGGCTTATGCAGCCTAAACCTCCTGGGCTCAGGCATTCCTGCCTCAGACTGAGTAGCTGTGACCACAGACATGCACCGCCACACCTGGCTAATGTTTTAAATTATTTGTAGAGACGGGGTCTCACTATGTTGCCCACGCTGGTCTCAAACTCCTGGGCTCAAGTGATCCTCCAGTCTCAGCCTCCCAAAGTGCTGGGATTACAGGCATGAGCCACCGTGCCCGGCCCAAAGCTTTTCTTTAAAGGCCTAAATAGCAAATATTTTTGACTTTGCAGGCCACACAGGTCTCTGTTGTGATGACTTAACTCTGCCAATATGGCTTTGTGCCACATATGGAGATACACAGACAGGTCGTCGTAGCTGTGCCCATAAAACTTTATTTACAAAAACCAGCAGCAGCTAGAATTGGCTGGATTGGCTGAACCCAGAATACAGGAGGGTTGGGGTACATCTTCCTGTACAAAGCTGAGGGTGGCCCCTTGGTATCAGGGACATCAGAGCAGAGACCTGAATGATACCAGGGAGTGAACCATGAAGAGCTGGGAAAAGGCAGATTATCAAGGAATTGTATATTAACCCAAATACTCAAAACAAAATTATAAAAAGAATGTTACAAATATTTACATCAGATTTTTCTCGTGTTTTGTGTGGTTTCAACAGTGACAATGCAGATTTATTTTTAATCTTGAGGTCTTGCTTCCTCTTCTATAAGCTGTCCATTTTACAGGCAAGGAAACCGAGGCTCCAGATATGAAGGTTCTGGGGCCACACGGCTGGTGAGGTGCAGTCAGGAGGCCGGGGCTATTTCCCCACATCGCAGATAAGGAAAGGGAAGCACCGAGAAGGGACTGCTCACCCACACTGCCGGGTGCTGGGAAAAACAGGATCTGAACCTGGACGACCTGGCTGGAAATCCTGAACTCTCACCCAGCATGCCCGTGCTGCCTAACGCCGCAGCCTGTGTGGCTATGGAAAGGCACATTTAGTGTGTATATTCAACAAAATTTAAAACTCCGTTCCTCAGTTGCAGTAGGCACATTTCAAATGCTCAACAGTGGAACGTGGCTATCGCAGATACAGTGTTTCCATCATGGCAGAAAGTTCTGTGGACGGTGCTCCTGTCCAATAAACGTACAGGGCATAAAAACCAGTGAGCACCTGGGAATTGGAAAGGGCCTTGCTTAGCGTATGTCGTGACAGCGCCATCACTGCTGCTAGAATGGAGGCTCACAGCCAACACTGCCCATCCCCTGCCCATTCACACCTGCTTCTTCTTCAGCTTAGAGATCTGCTGCTCCACCATGGTGATCTCTCGGTCCACGCGGTCCATGTTCTGGATCAGCTCCTCCTTGGACAGCCGCGGAGGCACCAGCTCTAGCTCAGGGTCGGCATGTGGGGGGCTGGGGGGAGACACCGGTTCCAGCTTGCCAGTCAGGTTACGGTCCTGTGGCAGAGAAAAACGGGCATGGAGTCAGCACAGGGAATACCCCTAGTCCGTAATGCCCTGTGATGTTTAATGCGGAGTGTCAACTTGATTGGATTGAAGGATGCAAAGTAGTGATCCTGGGTGTCTGTGAGCTGGGGAGGCAGACCCACCCTTAATCTGGGTGGACACCATCTAATCAGCTGCCAGCAAATACAAAGCAGGCAGAAGAACGTGAAAAGGTGAGACTGGCCCAGCCTCCCAGCCTACACCTTTCTCCCATGCCGGGTGCTTCCCGACCTTGAACACCGGACTCCAAGGTCTTCAGCTTTGGGACTTGGACTGGCTTCCTTGCTCCTCAGCTTGCAGACGGCCTCTTGTGAGACCTTGTGATCGTGTGAATAAATACTCTTTAATAAACTCTCGTGTGTGTGTGTGGGGGGGGGGGGTGTTAGTTCTACCCCTCTAGAGGATCCTGACTGATACAGCTGCTAACTCTTTGCCTGCTGCCATCCATGTAAGACATGACTTGCTCCTCCCTGCCTTCTGCCATGACTGTGAGCCCTCCACAGCCACATGGAACTGTCCAATTAAACCTGTTTCTTTTTTAAATTGCTCAGTCTTGGGTATGTCTTTATCAAGCAGCATGAAGTGGACTAATACACGCCCCCTCCACAGTTCACCCCAGTTTCCGTCCCTGACTCCAGGCCCAGAGGACTGGACAGCTGTCAGGAAAGTCCCACCTGTTCAAGGATGCCATCCCCATCCCAGCCGTTACCCATTCTCCAAAGGTCAGAGTCCCTTACAGCCTCCAGATGCAGTTCAAACACTCCGGCTACACAGACCGTTTCCCGGCCTCTCCTTGAGTTGTGAAGTCCAACTCCCTGTTCCCGTCACACACGTCTCTTCCTGCACTCACTGCATCTGTGTGCTCCCCACCAGCGCAAGGAACCCAGACCCACAGCCTCCATTTCCCCAAGGCCTGGTCTCTACGGACCCTCTGCAAACACCCGTTCCTGAAGCACAGCCCAAACACGCGGGTCCCAGAACCATGCAGCCAGCACACACGCGGCTCTGCAGACAACATGTACCCCAAACACATGGAAAAGCCACAAGGACAGGCGACAGATTAGCTACCAGGAGTGATCCAGGCAGCAGGGCAGAAGAGGGTATTTTCCCTTTCTTCTTTTTGTTTGCCCGTGTGTGTTCTGATTTTCTTCATGGAGTTACCCTTTGTGAAATACAGCTGTTGATGAAAACGTGCTCACGACGAAGGCAGCCTGCATTCAGTTGTCGGCGGACGCCTTCCCCCCACCCGCTACAGCCTGCTGCACCCAGGCAGTGCTGGCAGCATTCTCAGGATCAGGTCACACAAAAAAAAACCAGTCCCCGCTGTGCAGCCCTGGGTTCAAATCCCAGCCCCCTGCGCCACTCTACAGTTCCGTGACCTCAAGCAGATCATTCAGCCGCTCCCTGCCTCAGCTTCTTCATCTGTGCAATGGGGAGAACAGTTCGCACCTCCCAGGTCCTTGCGAGTCTTGAATGAGTTAATGGCTCCGAGCCTGGCGTGCCGTGAGCCTCAATAAATGCTGGCTGGGATGGTCCCCCCTACCCGGGCTCCAGGAACCCAGATCCCGCCCCGTGCCACCCTCAGGGCCAGGCCGGCAGCTGCTGGCAGACGAGGCCCGGAGCAGCGCCAGGCCACCACCTCCCCGCCCCTGCGGCAGCTGCACCCAGAGGACACAGGGTGCATTATTCCCAGGACAACTGCAGCCCGGGGGCCACCGGGTGCCCCCACCTCGGGACTCGCAGAGGCGGCATCATCCTCTGTCCACTCCTCCATCCTCAGGGCCTCCTTCCTCCCCTCAACCCATAGAGCCCCAGCAAGGCCACAGGGGCCAGGAGTCTTGGGGTCACACCAGGTTTGCCTCTGGCCTCTGTTACCGTCTGAGACGTGGGGATAAGGACAGCAGGCACCTGGACCACCTGGGGCTCCCTCCACACGTGTGGACTTCTCGGGAGAAATGCAGACAAGCGCTCGTATGCCTCAGTCGCCCAACGCAGTCCTCCCTGCTCCTCAGGCCACCTCCCCCGGGGACTCAGCGCATCCCAGAGCTCCCCACGCCCCACGAAGCGGACCCCACAGCAGCCCTCAGACAGGGTTGCTGCTTCGTCTCCATTAGAGGAGGAAACCGGGAGCCTGGATGCCAGAGGCCCTCGCACTTTCCTATAAAGGGCCAGATGGTAAAAACATCTCGAGTTTTGAGGGCCACGAGGTCTGCCTCCTCTGCTTGCCCCTGCCACTGTATTGCAAAAGCAGCCACAGATGATGGGCACTGAATGGCCGTGGCTGTTTGCCAATAAAACTTTATTTACAAAAACAGGCTGAGGGCCAGGTTTGGAGCTTGCTGGAGTTTGCTGGCCTCCTGTTCTAAGCAACTCACAAGTCTTAATCCATGTAACTGCCACAACCACCGTGGGAAGTGGGATCACTGTCTGACAACATGCCGAAGGCACTCAGCACCCTACCTTGGAAGGTGCTGGAAGCGGGAGGCTGCAGGGGTGCCCACATCAGAAATGGGGTCCCGGCCACACATCTGTTCATCCCACAGAACCACGGGGCTGAGCCTAAGCGCCAAAGCAGCACCCCTTCCAGGGACCCAGAGTGCAGGACCTCCAGAAATTAAAGGCAGAAACGTGTGGAAGAGAAAAAGTTCCCGGAAAAAGCCTCGGCAGTGTGTGTGCATGTACCAGGGGTGTGGGTTCGCTGCTCCCCAGCAGGAGCGCAGACAGGGCCACAGGCGCCTGACCCCACCCACAGCAAGCCACGGACAGCTCATGCATCTGGCACCCCCAGGCCTTTGCACAGGCTGGCTCTGCTGCCCCAAGTGCCCAACACCCCTTCTGTGCCAACTGACGTCAGACCCGTGTCCCAATGCCACCACCCAGCCCCTCATTGCGGTCCACCTCGGGGGCTTGGCTGGTCTCTCTCTGCAGCCCATGTCATTTCCTGAGGTTCTTAAGACAAACTGTAGCAGCAAGCATTGGCACCCAGAAGCCGGCGGCACTACCAGTGGCAAGAAACATCTCTGCTATCCTATCTCCGTGCTTCTAACCGGACCAAGAAGAGAGAAAACCCAGCAAGGACGAGGATGTGGAAGGGGGGCTCTGGGGGCCGGGCCACCCTAAAACTGTGGGAGCAAACCACTCATCCAACCTGGGAATAATGCTCCAAAGCCACATTAACCAAAAGTGAGTTTCCATCCCCAGGGCTAACGGGCAGCACCAGGAGCAGAAGAGGCAGCTGGCAACCACTTTTGACGCTTGGAAAAGCTGCTGGAAACTTCCTTCCTTTAAACTCTCCACGGACAACAGCTGTTGTCTTTAACAGGTTCTTCTTCCATATTCGGGTTTAGCTTTGATTCACAGCAAAACTGCACAAGTCAGTCCATCACCTGATAAACAGATAAATAAAACATGGCATATCCATACAATGCCATGTGAAGGGCCAGGCATGGAGGCCGAGGCAGGAGGAGTGCTTGAGCCCGGGAGTTCAAGACCAGCCTGGGCAACATAGCAAGATCCCATCTTTTTTATTTTTTAAAGGATTGAAGCACTGACCCAGGCCGCTGAGTGAAAGCAGCCAGACATAAGAGGCTGCAGAGTGTACGATTCCATGCACATGAAATGTCCAGAAGAGGCAAATCCATACGGATCGACAGCAACGAGTGTTTGCCAGGAAAAAGGAGGAGGGGTAGTAAGGAGTAATACGGCTTGGCTGTGTCCCCACCCAAATCTCATCCTGAGTAATATGGCTTGGCTGTGTCCCCACCCAAATCTCATCCTGAACTGCAGTTCCCATAATCCCCGCGTGTCGTGGGAGAGGCCAAGGGGAGGTCATTCAATCATGAGGGCGGTTTCCCCACATCCTGTTCTCGGGACAGTTCTCACGAGACCCGGTTTTGTAAGGGCCTTTCCCCACGATTGCTCCGCACGTCTCCTTGCTGCTGCCATGTGAAGACGGACGTGTTTGCTTCGCCTTCCATCAGGACTGTAAGTTTCCCGAGGCCTCCCCAGCCGTGCTGAACTGTAAGTCCGTTAAACCTTTTTCTATTATAAATTACCCAGTCTCGGGCATGTGTTTATTCAGTGTGAGAACAGACTAATACAGGGAGCGACTGATTAGTGATTAGTATGGAGTTCTCCCTTTGGGGAGATGAGAATGTTCTGGAACTCGATAGAGGTGACAGCTGCACAACACTGTAAATGTCCGACAAGCCAATGAACTGTTACTTTGACATGGTTACTTTTACGTGAACCAGCCCTCAACTGAAAAATTAGAGGCAGACCCGGGCTGCCAGGATCGCTTCCCCGGTGCCAGGTTTCCCGGATCGGGGGCTGCAGGAGCCTGGCGGTCAGGCCTGCAGGCACAGTCGCGATGACTGTCCACCTTCCCACCCAACCAAAGCCAAGGGAAGCAAAACAACAAACTAATACACCCGCACAAGTTGCCAGGGCGCAGCTGGCACTGTTTAGCAGATGCCCCTGCTGTGAAACTTCACGCCAATGTGAAGGAGAAAAGTCTATCATGCAAAACCGAAGACACAAAAGCAGAAAAGCCCTGCAGCTCCCCTCAGCCAGCTCAGGAAAAATCGGGCCCAGCTGCATGCCCTCCCAGTCTACCCCCTACTCCAGCCATAGTGACAGCTTCCAGGACAGGCACGGGCCCGCTCATGGTGAGAAGCAAAAGCAGTTTGGGGCTAGAAATGTGGAGAGAAGGTGGGAGACTGCTCTCTTTTTGCTGGCCTTGAACCTGGGAAGAGGAACGCCTGGAGTCACCAGCTTCCTTCCTGCTAACACACCAAGACCCCATGAAAGACGGCAGAGCCAAGATGAAAACAGACAGGTTCTCAGGACATCGTTTCACCCAGATCAAGCTGTACCTGAAGCTAACAAACCTGGACTTCAGTTATGTGAGCTTCTGTCCCCGTTAGGGATTTTCAGAGATGGTGCTATTTGTG